CACTAGAAAGAGCAGGAAATTTCCGATAAGATAGATATGGTTCTAGAGTTTTCTCCTGCTCATATAAGAAAGTTATCGACCCGAACAGGGTTTAAGAATGGCTAAAACGTGTGAATTTAGCAGTTTTTGGCCAAAAATGTACGTGTGCAAGCTCGCGATCGCCGCGTGTTATACATCACTAGAAAGAGCAGGAAATTTCCGATAAGATAGATATGGTTCTAGAGTTTTCTCCTGCTCATATAAAAAAGTTATCGACCCGAATAGGGTTTAAGAATGGCTAAAACGTGTGAATTTAGCAGTTTTTGGCCAAAAATGTACGTGTGCAAGCTCGTGATCGTCGCGTGTTATATACCACTAGAAAGAGCAGAAAATTTTCAATAAAATAGATATGTTGCTATAGTTTTCTCCTTATCAAATAAGAAAGTTGTTTAGAGGAAGAGTACTTAAGCGTTTCTGCGTGTAGGGATGGACATTAAGGGTGATTTAAGCATGACGCCGATAGATATTGACCCGGATTAAGATAGCTGAAGGAGTGCCTTTTCTGACTGTGATAACAGTTTTTTAAAATTCGGTTTCATAACAATTGCACAAAGCTTTGAAGTTTGGTAATTTTGAGCTGTTTTAAGTACAGCGCGGTGTTCTTCATTTTATATTTATCTTAATATCAACCTTATCGGCAGACGAAAACCCGGTTTTAGATAGAGAAAGATTCAAGCTTTCAAGTGGTGCATTTAGTTTTTCGCTATCCCTAATTATAAGGAAGATATCAGCTAAGAAAGTAAATAGAAAATTACGGGTAAAAATTTGTTGCTATCGTCGCACCGGTACTTAAATAAGGATTAAGAAAGATGTTAGTTACTATTCTGGTGATGATAAGCAATGCGCAGCTGTTAAAATAAAGTTTTCGCTTATTAAAGCCCCCCCACAGAGATATTGAGTATCATTTGAGTCACCATAGCCTAATAAGGCAACGTGAGGGAATTCTTTAGCTTGTGAGTTTTCACCGTTTACTACGAAAATTTGAGATGTAGCGGTTTCTTCGTCGGTTGAAGGAGTTAATGTGGTGGGGACTGTTGTTGTTGTCGTCGTGGTTGTTATTGTTGTAATTGGTGTTATAGGTGGATAAAGATATAATTTATTGCTGTATTCTCCACATTCTATGAAAAATAATAAAATTAACAATTATTACATTTAAAAAAAAATAACTTACTCTGAACACTTTTTTTATTTTTATTTTTTTCGTTGATTAATTTTTCGGTGAAAGGATTAATTCCCCCAGAAGAAGAACTTATCAAATCGGATTCTTTTAAATTATCGAAAACACTTTGATTAAAAACCGTTAACAAATTAGGATCAAATGGCAAATCATCTCCTAGCACACAACAAACAATCGGAATCAAAGGAAGATTTTTATCAAAACTACAAATATTAGGTTTCTTCTTCTTTAACAAAATTTCTTTGGCTGATGCACATAAATCCACTCTTTTACACACTCCGAGATCACCATTAGCTAAGGAGCAAGGAGTATTAATTTCACGATCAAGCTGACCTAAAATCAATATAAATCAATGTTAATAAATAAATAGATTTACTCTTACTGCTCGTTTTAAGACTTAAATTAATTAAAAACAAAATAAATAAAATATGGGTCGACGGAGAAGACATTTCGTTGTTGAAACGAGTAAATAAGTTGGGGAACTAAATGTATACAGTTCACAACAAATTATTTCCACCCATTACTTCACATCAAGGAGAAAACGTTTATTGAATTTCAAAGTTGGGTTTTACCTCGATATGCGTAGTTAAATTTGTGAAAATTGTATTAAAGCGTGCGGTTATGAGTCATAAGTTTCTTAATAAACAGATCATTAAAGAATGTTTAGAAAGTTCCTCATTAAGTCACACAAAGTTACCTAAATTTGGCAACTTATACACAATTAGTATCTGGGCTATGAAATGTAGTGAGTGTAATAATCCAATTATTAAATTGCTTTTTATATGTTTGAATTACCGTATTTCCTCGAATCTTATCCGCATCTTTCTTTGAGCAATTCGACAACACTAAAACGATGCGATGCTTGTTGTTAACCATAAATATATATTTTTTCTGTTGACTGATACTGATGCACCTAAAGAAACCTTGTTTACGACGAGTTTTTATTAGACTAGACTTTAAATTTACCAAGCCAGAAAAAATTGGAAAATAAATATAATTTTAAAAATAAATAGTAATCCCTAGCACGAATTCCGTTCATATACTGCCCTCGTAGTAGCTCGAACGTGCGGTGTGTGCTTAATTATACATATAATAGCGTAATTATAAAAAAAAGTAGCAAAAATCTAAAAGGTTCTTCTATACAGCAAAGTTTAAACAGATGTTATTAAGTTAGCGTTAAGAAAATCGAAAAGCTGGTACAATTTTTGCTGATAATGAGAGTAACATTGCGGCTGTTGTGGAAAGACCAGGTAGCTATTGCAGACTGAGGCATCGTGCAAAAAATTTACCGGGCCAAAGAAGAGACGATTTCATGAAAATGACGAGGCAGTTTTCTAGTTCTCTCAAGAAAAACGAAAGGAGAGACTAAAAAATTTTTTATACTAGCAAAGGTCGGACTGTGGGATTTATGCGCCGAATGATGTTTGTCTCAAATTGCAAATGTCAACGAAATGGTAGTATATCTGGATATGCCACCCAATTACACACTGGAAAGAGGAGATGTGTGGGAAATTTCTTTATAAACGAGTGGTTGCGAAAAATTGCGCATAACATTGATGCTAGTAGTAACAAGTGATAGGGAAAAATTGTTGTCATTAGTAATATTGAGAAAAAAACCATTCTGAAATCTGAAAGACTTCCCGAATGACGTCCTAGTTAGGGCACAACAAAAAGGATGGATAATGGACCAGGAGGATTATTAAATAAGGATACTAATTAATCATAGACTGATTACCCTTGGTTTAGACTTCTTGTCATAATAATAATACCTGGTGGAATAACATCCATACTACAACCTGTGTATGTATATGTATATCAACAAACTCGAGAATTAACAAAACCTGGAGCAATTAAAGGAGCTTCTGAACTTGTTCAGTGAGTGTAGGCGACATCCCTGAAAACAATATTATAACATCATTTAAGAAGTTTTGTATAATCCGAAGATGACGTAATATGGGAAGAAAATGATACATAAAAATGTAAATATCGTTCTAAAACCCTTAATAAAGTGTTACGACTGCGAATCTAATCCGCACCCGATTGTAATCCGCATTTGATTTTAGAGCACATAAAATTTGTAAAAAAGGTGCGGATTACATTCGAGAAAATACGGTATTTGATTTTTTTATTGAAAAAGCTCCGGTCCATTTGGAATATGAGCCAAAAAGGATACTACCAAAAAGTAGCCTACAAAGTCTGCATGAACTCCCTCTACGGGATATTCAGCTTAGTAGTATATTAATGCCGATTCTGGAGCGGAAGTGAATCCCCCAATCCCCCTGCTCCTGCGCATGCGCCGTAAAGTATACTGCGAATTTTTAAAAAAAGTACTATAACATTAAGGGTTTTACTATCATTTTCTTAATATTATGTAATTTTTATTGTAAAAATGTCTATTAATACTTTTCAATATACTGGCTTGATTGGGGGGAATTAAATTGTTTTATTATTATTTCCGGAATATTCCTAAGTTCCTGCGAATTTCAAATTTCCCGGGCTGACATTGGCGCGTGACGTCACAAAGGGAGCAATTTCCGGTTCAACTTAAAAATATGATAGCGCCATCTATCGGTCATCAGGTAAATTTTAAGCTGCGCCATCTATCGCCCATCAGGTAAACCACCCCCTTTTTAGTTTAACTACACAACGCTAGATGGCACACATGAATTTAGAATTTCAAATTCCCCGCGCTTTGACGTCACTTCCGGCGCATGCGCAGGAGCAGGGGGATTGGGGGATTCACTTCCGCTCAAGAATCGGCATTAATATACTACTCAGCTTCAAGTCATGAATGAATTTGTGATGTAAGTGTTGCTACTAAATATTTCATTCTTCTTATTCCGGGATGAACTTTATTTAATCTCTTTTCTTCTAAACTTAGCCTTTGTTATGTCTTCGGTTTTTAATACAACAACTTTTTTGTCATATATTTTGTTACATTCATAACTGGGAGAAGAGAAATCGTTCACTCTCTTTTCCTCTTCTTCTCTCTCCCCATCAGTTGCTTTTCAATCTATTAAGAATGTCAAGTTCATACCTTTTGTGAATTATTTATTCGTTCACAAAAAATTTTCATTTTCTAATTTATTTCATTATGAAGTAATATAATTTAATACACTTTTCAAAAACATAAATATGTATAATGCGGTAAAAACCCAACATTGCATCTTATTAAACGTTTTCTCCTTGATTTAAACTAATAGATGGATACGTTGAAAACCTGTCTTGGTTAAAGTTAACTTCCTTCATTCATTTAGTTTCCCAACGGATTTGTTGGTCCCCACAACGAAATGTCTTTGTTATCAACTTATATTTTATTCACCTCGATTTTAATACATTTAACTTCAAAAACGAACGGTACGTACTAAATTATTTATTTATTTAAATTTAATTATTTAAAATACATTCAGGAATATTTTATCAAGGTAATCAAGAAAGTTCGTTGATTTTAGGTCAGCACCGTAACCTTGAAGAGAATGATGCGTGTTCTTTAACCGATGGAGATGTGGGTGTGTGTAAAAGAGTCGATTTATGCGCATCGGCTAAACAATTGTTGTTAAACAGAAGAAAACCTAATTTATGCGGTTTTGATACAATTCTACGATTACTTCCGATTGTTTGTTGTGTTCCTGGAGAAGATTTACCTTTTGATCCTAACTTTTTGTCGTTCTACAAACATTATAATTTTACAAGACCTAATATTTTATATAATTTTAATGAAATGAATGTGTTAAGTTAGAATTAAAATTAAAATTAGAAGATAATGGATTACGTAGTATACTAAGTTTTTTTAATAATACAGATTCTAACATTATTGATTTACTATGTTATATGTATAAAAAAATTCAAGTTATATTGGATAAGAGCAGTCACACAACAGTCAGTGCCATTCAAACCGGCAAAAAAATTCCTTCAGGTCTCTTCAATAATTAAATTCTGCGCAAAAAAAGGTCATATAACACTCACTGGCATATTCAAATGTCTCCAGAAATGTCTAAATAAGCCCAAAGATCTCAAAATGTGTCCAAAGTGTAACCAAATGTTTCCAGAAACGTGCAAATGTTCCCAAAGGTCTCAAAATATATCCCAAGTAGGTTGGGTTGGGTTGATTGATGGAAGACTCACGTGAGCGGTGTTCTGCAGTGCAGCATTTAGCCACTGGAAAAAATAATAGATAGAAAAATGTAACAGATACACCTAATTCATCCAAGAGCGATGTCTCAGTCTGTTGGAACAATGAGCACGCAATTTTTTATTAACTTTTGCATATCTCAAAAAAAATTTGATGAAGACATCATTAACATTATTAATAGTTCCTTTGAAAAGTCGACTTTGTTTGGTAATTGGAGCGGCCTCAAGATTGTAGTCAAATTAAATTACAGATTTCCGATAACGACGAACCCCCGGCATGGAAACGTGTGGTCGCAAAGTTGCCAGGTAATGACCCTCTCACCTCGTGGTGAATAAACAACCAGTACTCTATCCCCAAATTAATTCCGCAACCCGGAATTATACAACCGGCTATTTCGAACCCTTAAGAAATGAAAAATTACTCGCTGACAGGTAACTTGAACCACAAAATTCTTTCCTGTCCTTTTTTTATCATAACTATTAAACGCGTTACGGGCACGTGACAATTGCACCCAGATTTCACCGGCGTGTCACATTACCATATTGATGGGTATGCTAATCTCGTATTGAAGCATGCTGGTGACAGGCGTGTAATAAGGAACCGATTTAGGTGTGTAGCATTTGCATATTACGCCCTCTGATGGGAATTAGGTTCAAAAACAACCTCTTCTTACGTGGCGAGTGTTCAAGATTGATTATAAGTAACGCAAAAAAGTTTTAATAAAAATCGATAAACCGGCTACAGTCTGTCCTTGAGCTAGTGCACACAAACTGATGTATCTACACCCCTCATTGCGATTCACGCGTTTCACCCTCGCAACCGGGGAAAGCACCGAATGAGTCACCGTCCCTCCGGCTCTTTATTGGCTAAGGGTGGCCAGGGGTTGCTGGCAAACTGTACAAAGAACGAATCCAGTGTTGATTTGGTGTTGTGCTAGTGCAGTACTGTGGTCGTTTAGGTTTAGTTGGATTTAAAAAACGTTGTTATTGTTTATTTTTGAGAGAGAAGGCTGAGCCCACCGAATGTGTTCGTTGTATTAGGATTATCAATTAAATCATGATTTTACCACCGAAAATGGAACAAAACGGCGTTAACACACGCGATGTTGTCAAACTATTCGTCGGTCAGATTCCGCGTCATCTCGAAGAGGACGATCTTCGTCCGATGTTTGAGGAGTTTGGGAAGATCTACGAGTTCACGGTTCTAAAGGATAAGTACACGGGTATGCACAAAGGTAAGCACTACATCGATTTTTGCATCTTTTTTCATCTTGTTCGAGTTTTACGAACGTACTGAACTTGCACTCCTCATCCTCCGTCGCCTTTTTCGCTTGTAAAACGGCGCAACCCGAGGACCCGCTTACGTATATAAGTGATTTGCATAAATTATGCAAAACATCGTAACAGCTTGCAAGCTGTACGCCCCCGGCTCTTTGGATGCCTTTTTTTCCCGGATTTTTAATTAAACAACTATGTTGGATTACGAACGAAAACTTGGAAACTGAAACTTTGAACATCCAGATCAATTATGATGAAATCGAAAACGATAACTCTGGAGATACCATGGAACCTGACTCTATACAGGGTGTTTCGGTGACCCGGGGAACAAATGTAACTACATATACTAGAGTGAAAATGATGACGATTCATGTAAAAAAAAATTATAAAAGTCCTCAAAGTTAGGAAATTTTAACACATTTTTCTAAATATCTTAAACACTATTTATGGTAAAGCGTTGAAATTTGGTACAGTGTAAACTAATATCACGTAAAATCATTAGGCAATTTTTGAGTTGGATCGGTACGCGGGAACAGTGCTATACAGGCTGTTCCTAAACTTTGTTTGCTCAGAACTTTTTTATTCTATGATAACCCTACATTTATTTTTGCAGTTTCTAATAGTAAATTTAGTTTAGAATCTTTTATCACTCTTAGAGAATATTGATAAAAACCACCGTTTTCGTATTAAATGCAAAAATTGTTCCCCGAGTCACCGAAACACCCTGTATATGTATAGAGTATTCAACCAGCTCATAATACATGCCTATCTAGTGAAGATACGAAAAAATGTTATTAACAAAAGAGATAGCAAATTTAGTTATAAACAATTATTATTTGAAACATTTTTTGATTCCAACGATAATTATTGTTATAACCTCAAAAATGTTGTTTTTATACCAGTATACAGCGCCACCTGGGTGAGATATTAAAATGATTTATTAAAGAGATCGTTTTTAAATCAAATTTTAAATAAATATTGTAGGAAATATTTTTCGATTAAAGCAATGATACACCATAGATTATAGTTAATAATGTTCAAATGATCATAATGTACTTTTATACCTCTATATATGTCTATCTAATGAAGATACGAAAAAATGTTATTAACAAAAATGATAGCAAATTTAGTTATAAACAATTATTATTTGAAAAATTTTTTGATTCCAACGATGATTATTGATATAACCTCAAAAATGTTGTTTTTATACCAGTATACAGCGCCACCTGGGTGAGACATTAAAACGATTTATTAAAGAGATCGTTTTTAAATCAAATTCTAAACAAATATTGTACGAAACATTTTTCGATTAAACCAATAATTTATCGAGCATTATAGCTATCAATTTCTGTATATCTACAGGTGTCCCTATAAGTCGTGATATAATTTTAATCGCAAATACTAGACTGAAAATGAAACGATTTTCTTAAATATTTTCAATATAGTTTGTCTTAAAAAGACTAAATTTGGCAAACAGTGCAATGTTATCACAAGAAATCGTTTAAAATCACTATTGGAAATATTGAACCGCGAGATCAATGCTATACAGGTGTTCACAAAGGTTATTTCTGTACAATTTATACCAGTATAGAGGGCCACCTGGTGGAGATATCAAAACGAATTATTAAAGAGATCGTTTTTAAATCAAATTCTAAATAAATATTGTACGAAACATTTTTAGATAAAACCAATAATATACTGTACTAAATAATAAAGCTTCCGAGACAGGTTTTACCTGAAAGAGAAACATAACCTCAATTCAGTTGACAGTAAATTTTTAGTTGCTCATAATTCTCTTAAAACTGTTACTATCCTTTCTAAACCATCCAGAACGGGAATATTAGTGTCAGTTACATTTAATTTATTAGATTTTGAACGATTTTAACCATGAAAATTGGACTTAAAATTTGTAAAATTCAAACTTCTTTTGTGGTTGGAAAATCGTGAAACCTCCAATGGACGGCTGAAATAGAAGGATATACGCATCAAATACGAAGTTTCATCCAGATTAGTGAAGAATTAAAGAAGATATTAATAAAATAATTTTGGAATTTCGAGTAGTTCGAAAGAAATCCGCTAGATGGCGGAATGTAGAAAAGTTTGAATTTATTTTAAGGGAAGAAATGGCGCGAAACCCATCAACCAATCAGGAGTGAGGGTTAAAAATGGAAGGAAAAAAATTTTCTGGAGAAGGGGAAAAGGGTATATAAGAAGAGGAAAAAGTTGAACCAAGACCATGCTGTATTAATTCCGTATAAGCATGCGTCAATAATAAATTTAGTTGTGACCCGTGATACCTTTGGCGCTGATAGCATACAACACAAGAACAGCTTCTTTACCGATTGAATTAATGTTCACATTTTTGATTTTTAGTTGTCTAAGAAATAATCTAAAAACTGTTTATAGCAGGCTTGTAGTTTATTTATAACGAATAGTGACAAGTGAGTGACAAGAAGATTGAAAAGGAAAGTATTGTTAATGTTAAGATTGATTAATGAAGTGAGTAACTAAAAGAACAATTAAGGTTGATGTTTTTTAGCTTATATTAGTGATAGTTTTATTTTGTATAATTATAAATTAAATTAATTTATAAAATAATTTTGTAATTTAATTATAGTTTTTTATTACATACTTTTTTACTTCATTTTATATGTTTTTTTAATTTATTTTATCAAATTTTGTTTTATTATTAACATTATAATACCTGTTACACTATATAATTGTTTTTTGATAACTGTGTATGTTGAAATTTTGCAGAAACAAATTCGCTATAAGCGAAAATTGTTTCTGTTTAATGTCGTTCGGTATTTTGTTATAGAATTTTACTCCAAGAAATTTGAAATGGCACTTTTTTAGTTGGATATTCATGTAAAGTGTCATGAGTAACAAAGTCGTCGAGATTCCACCTTACATATATTACACATTCCAAAATGTACAATGCCGGGAAGGTCACATATTATGATAATTTAGTCTATTTTGCCACATAACATCATCTCGTCCTCTAAGCAACACCAAACGAGTAGTCTCAAATCTACATTCTCTTGATAATCATGGCAAAATATTTAGTTATTGCTTTCATTGTTGCTTTATGTTTAAACATGGTTTTGAGCAATTCTTTTTATCTCTAAAATTATTGTAATTGTAGCGTGCTGTGGCAGCAGCTGAGATCATGAGATTCAAATTCTTTTGGCCTCATATGTCGAAACAAATTCGTATTTGGACAAAATCATGTTTACAATCCCAGAAAGTTAAGATACAAAGGCATACAAAATCGCCAATTCTCAAAATCAAAGTTCCAAAAGTTCGATTTGAACACATTCACATTGATTTGGTTGGCCCACTTGTTCCATCTCTTGGATGTACTTACTCTAAAAGATATCTCTGCAGCCTTTATTGCAGGTACTC